TATATATATATATAATCTATGGTATTATTTTTAAACAATTTAATTGACTACAATGCTACAAAGGAATATAGTCAATTAAATGATTAATTAATATATAAAATAAAAATATATTAAATTCTATTTAAATAAATATTTTAATATAAGTATTAAGATTTAAATCTCACTCCATCCCTTAACATTCTACGACTGCATCACTAGAGATGTCTAAACGGCTTGTTTGCAAACAACTCGTGTTTGACACGTTAAGCAAACGAGTTGAACACAAATAAATTTTTTGCGTTTAATATATTAATGAGTTGAACACGAACAAATATATTTTTTAACAAGCCGAGTATGGGCTTGCTCAAGATTGACTCATTTACACCCCTAATTACAACTTCCAACTACAACCTCTATTGCTAACTGATTCAATTGTAGTCATCAACAATGGTCTCTGTGGCCAACTAACACTATTACAACTTTCAACTATAGCCTCTGTAGCTAACTGACTCAATTGTAGTCATCAACAATGGTCTATGTGGCCAACTAACGCTATTACAACTTCCACCTACGACCTATGTGGTCATATTCTACTGTTATAGTTTCCAACTATAACCTCTATAACCATTTAATGTTAATGCATTCACCAACAACATTCTCTATGACTAACTGATGTTATTACAGTTTCCAACCAAGTTCTTTGTGGCCAACTACTTCTCGTGCATCAACCAAGAAATTTTTCGCCAATACTATTATTACAACTACCAACTGTGACATTTGTAATAAATTGTTACTATTGCAACCAGTAACTACAATATTTACGACCAGTTATTGCCTTTGTAGCAACCAGTTATGGTCATCTGTGGCAAACAACTATTGTTAAGACTTTAAACTACAATCTTTGTGGCGAATAATCCTTATTGCAGCTACAAAATACAATAGTTATGATAAAATATTGCCTTTGTAGCAACCAATTAAGGCATTTGTGATCAACTACTATTATTATAGTCTCCAATTACAAATTTTGTGGCCAACAACACTATTATAACCACTAACTACATCTTTTATGATCAACCACTACCTTTATAACAACTAACTACAGCTTTTGTGACTAATTATTGCTATTACAACAAAGAACCACATTCATTATAGCTAATTTATGGTAATATAGTTAAACTACTGTTGTACATCTGCGGTTATCAACTTTATAATTTTATCTTCTCTAATTCAAAAGATGGTGGATCTATGTACTAACAATTACATAGTTGATAACTTTGACTGGGCTAGGTCTATTGCTTTTTCTTATCCCAGGATTTTTTAACGTAAAAATCCAGGCTTTTCCACCAATTACTTTTTATTTATCTATGTGTGTTAGATCTTCGTATAATGTTAAGATATTAAAGTATTTGTTGTGAGATATGTACTTCTTGACATATAAATGAAACACAAAGAACACAAGCAAACACAGATCGTTTACTTGGTTCGATCCAACGGATTTATGTCCACGGGAGGGAATCAATCAAATAGTTCACTATCCTAAGACAAAAGAAATGGAGAATACATAGCTTATACATAGAGATGAGCCCTCATCTTTCTTCTATGACCTCCCTCTCAAGCGACACATTGATACAAGACCTTAAGATGCTCTCCTCCTCTCTAGCTCTCTAGCTATTCTCTCCTCCTTTGTGGTAGCTTAAGATCTATTCCCTTGCTCTCCTAAGTCTCACACCCTCTCTATTTATAGAAGCAAGAGAGTGGTAGGTGGAGGTAGGTGAGCGGTAGGTGAGATGTGGTAGGTGAGTGGTACCACATTACAAAAGTGCTCTTTTACCTTATCAATAATTGGGGGTCAAAACAATAATTCTCCACCTTGACCCTTTAATTGAGAAGCTTCAAAGTAAAGATTCCCTGCACCTGGCCCTTGAGGGGCTCTCAGCCCTTGCTTGAGTTTGCAAAGTCCAAACAGTACATGAACTTAACAATCACGGTTCTTCCGATAAAAGAGTACCACCCCTTTTTCCTGACTCATTATGTGACGACACGAGGGTCTTTGGTTATTTTGATGCAGTCATTCTCTGCCTTGAACGAGCATCCGCTTGACTCTAGCGTACCTAAAGAAATCAGACTTCTTTTGAGTTTTCGTACGTACCTGACATTTTTCAGTACTCGTTCATTTTTCAGTACTCTTTTTCAGCACTCGTTCAACTCCATCAAACATGCTTAGCCTGGTTCAGCCACTTCCAACAACCCTGTGAGCTTTATTGTCTCCAGTGTCTCGAACCCGTCTTTGTGAGGATACATGTGGAAAGAACACCCTGAGTCGAGGATCCACTCCTTACTGGATTCAGATTCTGTGATCACCAGGGCCTCAGCAGAATCGTAGTCATTAGAGGCTACGTTTGCTTTTCCTGATTCTTCTGGCTCTTCTTGGTACTTAT